TTGATGTCTAGTGCATCATGCAAAGGTAAGAAGCTAAATGTGCAGCTCCCAAACAGAGAGACTGTGTGTATAAGGTGTTTTAAAGGGTTATTGAATAGAATTCCTAAAGGATTGTGGAATATAATTCCTTCTGCTCATCACTCCAGTTTCAACCTGTGGGGTCTCGCTGGAACAGTGTCAGGCTGTATCAACACCATCAAATGAAACCTTAATTGTAATTGCTGTCTAGATGGGCATTTCCTACAGCTGGCAGTCATGTACCAAAGCTCTGTTCAGTTTTGTCTGCTTTATAAAACTCCAGGACCCACAACTGTGTTTGGTGTCAGTGTATCTGTAATGGGGCTACAGTTTACCTCTTGATGAACTATTAAATGGTCATTATAATAATGAATTATATTTGGAAACCTCTTGCTACACTGTTCACCAATCACTCCAGAAAATCCTGGCTCCTCTTTTACATTCAGTTACTTGGTCTTTTTCTTTTAATCCATTTACATTGATTTCTGCTACTCCAACTCTGCCTGCCATTGCATTACAATTAAGAATTCTGATGAACTCTTGCTGATTCAGAAGGGAGAGGGCTCTTACTCATTGCCAGACTTTGGAGGAAAAAAAAAAGCCACACAAAAACCCCTTAGAATTTGCCTAAGGCAGCACTTTAAAATTGAGGAGCTAAATTATGGCTCCCAGAGCCAGCAGAGCTCGGTGGGACCGGGATCCTTGAGAGCCACCATGGCACCACAGCAGCTGTGGAAGGAGCCCTTGTGCCTTTGTCAGGCAAAATTAGCCATATAATAATGCAATTTATAGAGTTCTGCACTCATTAGTCATGGTATAGAATTCTTATGCACAGGAGTTTGGTTGGTCTGTGAGTCAAATCAAAGATCTGTGCAGCCCAAAATCCTGCCTTTAGCAACACTCAAAGTGATTTCAAGGGAAGAACATCAGAAGAGGGCAGGTTGAATGAACCTCCTTCCATGCCTGTAACCACTCCAAATCTAAATTATCCTGTCTGTCCTTACTGGTCAGGATCCAGGCCAGGCTGGACAGGGTTTGGAGCAACGTGGTCTAGCGGAAGAAGACCAGGCAGAAGTTGGAACCTTCAACCCAAACAATTCTGTGATACTATGATTTGCAATCATGAGTTGTAACATCTTTTGTATCCCAAGGTGCTGCAGGATATACTGAAATGATTTGGCCCAGTGTCCTTTTCTCAGTTCTTCAGCTGTAAGCTCCACTGACCTGGTTGTGTACAGATAAAACTAGACCAATATGACCTAATTTATCTTCTTTCTTTTTCTATCAAGGATGTCTTTATAAGATCTCTCAAACATGATAACATATTTGAAAGGGATATATTTTGTTTCGCTGTATTATTTTTTTTCGTCTTTAAACACTTGGCGTTGCAGGAAACGTGACACTGCCTTAGAAAAGGGAAGAAAGGGAGAGCCAACCCCTCAAAGAGCTGCTATTTTACACCCACGCTCCAGCTGTGGAGTCAGCCTGTCTCCAGACAAGGATCCCAAAACTTCGCCAGGCGGTAACGCGATCCAGCGGCTCGGGAGCCGCTAATCCCGGCCGAGTGCCGGAGCACCAGCCCGGTGCGCGGCGGGGCCTCTCCCGCATCCCCCGGGATGCTCCGCCAGGAACAAAACGGCATTCACGGGGCGGGCTGCGCGGAGCAGCGCTGCCCTCTAGTGCCCGCACGGTGCCCCGCAGGCCCGCACCGCCCCGCACCGTCCCGCAGCGCTCCGCATCGCCCCCGTCCCGCATCGCCCCCGTCCCGCATCGCCCCCGTCCCGCATCGCCCCAGGTCCGCATCCCCACAGGTCCACCCGTCTCCAGGGCCCGCATCGCCCCCGTCCCGCATCGCCCCGCGGGCAGCTCCGCTCCCCTCCCGCAGTAACGGAGCGACCCCAAGTCCCTCCTCCCCCAGACGAAGGGGGTTGATTATTCGCCGCCTGCACTCGGAGGGATCGATAATTCCCCAGTCTAAGAGCCTTCAGCATCAAAACCCAAACACAGCTCTGCTGCATTTCTCCCAAAATACTGTAGGAGTTTTAGTCTTTAGTATATACCAAAGCATATGACTACAACGTTCCTTAACTGATATATATGACAAAAATATATTTATTGCATGAAATGACCACGGTGAAGTGTAAAGTCCTCCTGATTCACACAGACAAAGCGCCCGATCCAACCTCCTTTTAAATCAATGGCCATCTTGTAATTTCTTTCCCTAAGCTTTAGGTTGGCCCCAACAAAGAAACAATTAAAACTGAAGTGCCATTAAAAAAATAAAAATGGGTATGGCATAGGAAATTATACACAGATTTTTAGCTTAAAATGCTGCTAGGAAAACTCAGACACACACACACACACACACAAAAGTCTAGGAAGAATGTTGTTAAGCTGTTCCACATTAACTGATTCCAGATGAGACCTCTGTTCCTCATGCACTGAAGATATTTCACTAAACATCCAGCTCACAAAATGGATTCAAGATTGGTTTAGGGAGTTCACCAAAAAGAAGAGACATTTCTTTTAAGTTTGAAATTACTTTTAAATTTCTATGATGTCTGAGCTAGAAATAGTTTCTATTGTGGAATTCCAGCAATAAAACATTTGTTTGTCAAGTTATGCTTTGTTGGATTGTGGCATTTGCAGAAAACAAAAATGTTAGTCTCAGTCTATTGTAACTCTGAACTTCACATATGTTTCTCACACTAAATTAAATACATCAGATGTTGTCAGAATAGCTTATTAATTGAAGCTGAAATCACATCATATACTTTAAAGCATTTTATCTGTTAAATCACTGAAATCATTCCAATCTCTGTAGTTTCCCCATATTGTTATGCAAAAGAAAAATTAATTTAGTTGCCCTATCTCTCAATCAACCATTTCCATACAGATTTTCTTCTGAAACTGCTGTTGCTAAATCTCAATGACTTATCTCCTGACATGTCCTATTGCAGGAGCGTTTCTGGTAATGAAGTAATCTAGTTCCTACTGATTTTTTTGGACAGGCAACACTTACAATTGTAACAAAGTTAAAGCTGATGTAGAGAAACCTATAAATAGCATTCTCTGCCCATGCTCATTTTCTGATGCTCTAGTGAAAGGCTGAGATGGAAAAAAAAAATAAAATATAAATATTCTATTCCAGGGCCTAAGAACAGCAGAAGAAAGACATCCTTTAGGTAAAATTTTCCTAAAGAATTGCCAATTCTTTTATTGAAGCTCTTGTTCTTAGTTCTGCAACTTTATTTTGTTCTCCTGTAAGAGGAAGGAGAACTGCCTTTGAAGTACAGAGTGAAACTTCTGTTTCTAGAGCGTAGTAGACTGAGAAATGTGTTGAAAGAATGCCTTGTGTGTTAAAGTATGAAGCTCAAACCAGACCTTCTGCTCCCAATTTCCCCCCTGTTCTTGCTGCCCATCTCCCAGACACGAACTGAGCTGCTCTGCCATGAAACTGCTGCTCATGAGCAAACATCTGCAATTCCACTTCCACAGACTTGTAATATCTCTCCTTATAAAATCATCCAAAGGACTGAGCACAGGCATCGATTTGTGTTCCAAATCTCAGCAGACAGACCTGGCTGAGGCACATGTCAGATTAATTATTGCAGAACTTCTACACTGAAAGCCTATTTATTTACGGGTATCCTTTAGCCAGTGCAGAGAAAGAGAACAAAGTATTTACCTGGAGGATAACCCGACTTCGGAAACATTGAAGCAATGGAAGAGCAAGGGAGGGGGAAAAGGGACAGACATTCAGCAGTGCCTGGGTTCGTGCTTCCCTGATCCTGAGTCTGTTAGAGCTTCCATTCAACTGTTCCATTATTAAATAATTAAAAACATTTAATTCCTTAATAGAGGGGCACGGAGTCTGTGAAAATCTTATCGTATCACAAATCAACGGGAAGAAAGTCTTTCCCAGGGAGTTCCTGGTAACTGGAACGTGAAAAAGAAATGAGCATTCTCCTTATAAAGGGCCAATTTCTGAATTAGTGACCTCATTTGCTAAAGAGGTTCCTTTGTCACAGATATCTTGGTAGGTAAATACTGTGTTACACAGCCACTCTGTCCTTTGTAGCAATGGTACAAAGAAGGTCTCCCAGCATATACTGGTTCTCTCCTCACCAAATGAATATTTAAAAGAGTAGACAATAAAGGGGGACTTCTATAGAAGGTAAAGGCATTTGTATCATGATGTCAGACTGCTATATGTGCTCCCAAAGGGTTGCACAGGAAGCACTTTTAGAATAAAAGTTAATGGTATTTATGGGCACCCACAAGCTGATCTATTTTACCTGTCTTGGGGATGTGCTTATGTATGCATCACCCAGGAGCCTAATGCTTGTTGGACTAGCCCGTGTTAGAGACAGATACCATTTTGGTACCTTGTGAATAGTAATGCCTTTGAAAGCCAGCAAAAATAAAAAAAAAAAAAAAAAAAAAAAAAAAGGAGGAAAGGAAGGATGTAAATCAAAGCCTTCCTTTTTTTCATTCTGGATAGAGTATCCTTCATTTCATGCACTCCCAATTTCTGCATATCCATTTCGTGCCTGGGAGCTACAGCGCAACTAAAAGATTTTCAGTTCGGGGCTTTCGGCATCTGCTTCTTCGGAGGAACATTTCAAATCGGCCAAACGCTCGCCCTCCCCCTCCCCGCCCCCGGGCAAGAACTGAGGGGAAAAAAATAAAAACCACCGTCTGCCACAGCGTTTCCTTTCTCCCTTTGGAGAGACGATCGAGCCCTCGGGGACCCGCGGCCGCCGCCGCAGAGCCCGCACCGCACGGCCCCGCATCCCGCTCCCCTCATCCCGCACCCCGCACACCTGCCTGGCCCCGCCACTGGCAAGTTTCGGGTGTCTCCGCTCGCATCCCCCGTCGCATCCTCGCTTCCCGAGCTGCCGGAGCGGCTCATCCCCCGCTCCTTCCCTTCCCTTCCCTTCCCCGCTCCTGTGCCCGCGCCCGCAGCGCTCCCCGCTCACCCGGAGTGGTCCTCCCGCGGCTCCCCCCGGGCTCCCCCCGCTCGCCCGCGGGTCCAGCGGGGCTGACGGCGTCCCTTGGCCTCTCCGAGCAGGGAGAGGAGCAGGTCCCATTCACAACTCGCCGCGGAGCGGGCACGGCGGCATCTTCAGCCTGTAACACTCCAGCGGCAGCGGCGGCTGAATGAGGCTCCGAGCTAGCGGCAGGAATTAGAAAGAGGGAGGGAGGGGAAAGGGGAGAGGGAGGGAGAGGGAGCAAGGGGAGTGAAGCGAGATTAGAGGAAGAGAAAAGCTGGAGGCTGTTGCTTCGTCTCGATTTCCCTCTCCCTTCCCCCCAGCCCGGGGGGAGCGCAGCCCCCGGCCCTGCCCTCCCCGGGCCCCGCTCCTGGGGCTCCTCTGATGCCCACGGGGAGAAGTTGGGGTTGAAGGGGCAAAGCGAGAGGCGGAAGGAGCCCAGGGCACCCTCTCCCTGTGCTCAGTCAGGGGCAGGCTCCCCACGCGTCTGTTCTGCACCCTCTCAGTCACCCAGACACCCACGGGCACGGCTGCGGGGGGGCCGCGGACCCCCATCCTGTGCCAGCGGGCACCGGGAGGGATGCGCTGTCCCTGCGCTGTCCCTGCGCTGTCCCTGCCCTATCCCTGCCCTATCCCTGCCCTGTCCCTGCCCTGTCCCTGCCCTATCCCTGCCCTGTCCCTGCCCCGCCGCCTCTCTGCAGATGCCCAGGACCCCCCCAGGGCAGCGGCGGCGCCGCCGGTGGGCTGAGACCCCCGGCAGAGCCCCGTGGAAATACCTGCGGGGGGGCTACCCCCGACTCATGGCACCCAGAGAGGAGTCGTCCGGGCTGGACAGACAGCAGGAGCGTTTTATATGGAATCCAGTCATGTTTCCTGTCAGGATCAGACATTTGTCCAGGAATAAAAAAAGGGGGAGGAAAAAAAAAAAAAAAAAAAGAAAGGGAAAAAAAAAAGACAAAGTTCCCCGAGCGTTTCTGGCTGTGGAAGAGTCTCGGTCTGTCACAGCTCACAGCCAGAGGTGAGGTCAGGCCTCTGCTCTCCCGCTGGAGGCGGAGGGGGCACTTTCCTTCTCAAACACGCCTGACCCAGGAGCTACCCCCTCACCCTTTCTGTTTTTCTTACCTACAGTGAAACCCCCAGGCACGGTTCCCAGGTGGAGATGAGCTCTGGGAGCCCGGGGGAAGCACCCCGAGCTGATGCACCCATTCAAACCCAGAGGCAGCACGCAGTCCCTCCTGCCATCCCGCACAGGCACAGGGGAGCCTGCAAACCCCCTCTCACCCATCAGTGCCCAGGACCTGCGTGCTCCCGGAGGGCTCTGAGCACACCCAGTGCCATCTGTGCGGCCCTGGAGCAGCACAAAGCAGGGCAAGGAAGGACAGAACACGTGGCCCCTCCAGAATAAGGATTGCATTCGCTGTTGGAAATACCCTGGTACCTCTTTGTGAAGATAATCTGCCCATCTCTGGGCAACCCACCCGGAGGGCCCAATCCCCAGCCCCCCAGGCTGCACTCACTGCCCTGACCACCCCACCCAGCCCTGGAGAACAAGGCCTTTATATTCTGTGCTTAATTAGCTCTGCCAATAACTCCAGGCAAAGGAAAAAAGTTGGCACTAAAGCTGCCACTGTACAAACAAAGAATTTGGAAGGAAGAAAGCTGATAAACAATGCATCCTAAGGAGGCTGAGGGACACTGAACACAGCACAGTGGAGCAGCAAGCCATGGAATTGTTTAGGTTGGAAAAGCCCTCTAAGATCATCAAGTCCTATCATTTCTCCAGCACTGCCAAGTCCACCACCAGCCCATGTCCCCAAGTGCCACATCCACATGTCTTTAAGTGATTAAGTCACCACTTCCCTGGACAAGCCCTTGACAAGCCTTTCAGTGAAGAAATTTTCTCACGTATCCAATATAAACCTCCCCTGGTGCAACCTGCGCCATCTTCCCTTGTCCTGTCGCTTGTTACTTGGGAGAAGAGACTGACCCTCTCCTGGATACCCCTCCTTCCAGATAATTGTAAAGAACGATTTGCTCCCCCTGAGCCTCCTTTTCTCCAGGCTAAACAACCCCAATCCTGCCCTATGTCAGCCACAGGGAAAGAGCAGGAGCCTCCTGGCTGCAGAGCTGGGGCTTGGAGGATAAAAATTGTTTCAGAGAGGTGTTGAGAGTTCACATTTTGTTCAGAAACACACCGGGAACAGCTCTGTGTGTACCAGGAGGGAGGGTTTGAGGCTGCCTGAGCACAGACACAGCACCCAGGGCCTCACCTGGGGACCCAGGGGTCTCAACATGGTGCAGGTGACAGGCAAGGGGAGCAGCCGTGGGACAGACAGGGGAACAAACCCAGCGCCACCCGGGGACTGAGCTGCAAGCATGAGGCCACAAGGCAACTCACTGATTGATTTAAGCACTAGGGGCTTTATTTTCATAGGAATAGGGCTGTGGTGCTGAGGTGTGGTTTTTGATAGGGAATTCAAGGAGTGATAAAGGCCACCAAGAAATCAAACATGTCGTTTGAAAATGTTTTTTGGGGAGACAAAGATGAGGAAGGAGGGTGATGCACATTAATTTGGAACACTTTTGTCAAGAAATCGGGTTTTGGCAGAAAATAAGAAAGATAAATATGCCTCAAGATAGTTCACATGGACCCAGACCTATTGCCCTTAATGGATACCTGTCAGTCTCCTGTGACAATAGTAGAAGATTCACCATTTCTCTTTGTTCTGGATACACTGCAGTGACTGCTAGTGCAGCTCTGCCAAAACTGCCACCGAGCTGAGACCCAGAGCTGGGCAGTGGCTGAGGATTTGTTCCCCTTTTCCCTTCTCTTGCTGACTTTAGCAGCACAGTGGAGAGGTTGACTTTTGTAATTCCCTTTTTTAAACTGCTGAGATCAGATATTTTTGAATATAAAGGAAATGTGAAAGCAATTTCAATCTAATTAAGCATATACAATAGGTACCCATAATATTCTCTAGTCAAAGAGCATATTGATCTATAATGAAAGGTTTCATTAATTCCATTCAAGGACGCACATTAACAAATGGGTGCAGTAACATCTGATCTGGTGAGTGCCTTGTTTCCTCCCTTCCTTCTGCATTGAAATCTCAGTGTAAACTAATCAGATTCTGCTATTCTTTTTCTCTCATTTGTTCATCTTTCCATAGAATCTACAGATAGAAGGTCCTTATCTGAAAACAAAATTGAAGCAAAACTCCTGCTGGAATCCCTGTGTTTGCACCTCTGGCTAAGTCTCAAGTCTGATTACTTTAATAACCACCATAGAATTAATTTCACCTACCTTAAGCCATTTTAAAATTGAGTATCTAACAGGCTGTCTATGGTAAAACTTTATTTAATGTCATTAAAAAAGTCACTCTAAATGGGACAGTCCACTAGCTGGAAATGCCTCTCTATATCCCAAAGACAATTTGCTCACAGTAGAAATCTACCACAATCATCTGCACATCAGATGAGATGAGACAAGACCTATTTTTTACGTTAGATACAGGAAAAAAGAAGTGGTCAAACCAACCCCAGTGTGTGATGCTGATAAATGACGACATTTGCTACATTCCCTTTAGCCATTGCAGTTCACATTCCAGCAGTTCCCAACCATCCTCCATCATCTCAGGAGGGCTCTTGCACAGCCCTGGCATGGGAAATGGAGTGGGCAGGGAGGAGGGGACCCTGGGCTGGCTGCAGAGCTGCTCCCCTGACTCACCCAGTGCTCACAGCACAGTTCACAGCACAACGCAGGGACACTTGCACTGCTTGCCCACACCAGAGCTGGATATTCCCACCACACACAAAGACAAGGAGAAGAGGAAATGCTACTGAATTTCTGCCTTTGTCTACTGGTTGGTGATTCTTCCCCTCTGAAGCCTTGAGCTGGCGGTGGCTTTAGGAATGGTTGAAGCCGACGTAAATTCAAACAGTGTCAGGTTCACTAGTGGGAAATCTTCCTAAATACAGTTGCCAGTGTTAGATGCACACTGAAAAACCAGGCCCTCATTATTCTGCTGCCATGAAGAGCAGCAGGGGAGGACATTGAGCTCTGGATTTATCATTTACAGCTGCTTGAAACCTGGACTCAGAATGAAATCAGTGTCAGACATAAATAAAGGAAGTTTATACATATTTTGTATTTGTTTTTGCATACCCATATATTTAGGTTAAGAACATCTGTGATAACAAATCTGTGAAACCTAAAAAAAGGTTTCTTTTCTACTGTGGGTTTAACAGAGTCTGAAGTTTTTAAAAATTCTGCTCATTGCTGGGTAAGTTAACCCATTTGTCATTTGAAAATCAACTGGCTGATTTGTTTTCTAAGCATCTGAAGAGGTACATGCACTGAACTGAATCATTGTTCTAGGAAACATTGCGTCTGAGTTCATGAAGTCAGGGTAAGAAAGTACATTACGAGTTGAAATTGGACCTTTGTTGTAAGGTGCATGAAAAACCTTGAACTGAGAACTTCAGAAACTGAACTCCAGAAAGTCTTTAGGAATTCAAAAGGGTTTATCAATATCCCATTTACTCAGCAGCTTGGGAACATCTGCACAATCAGTATGATAGAAGAAACTCCTTTCCATCTTTTGACCGTGTTTTCTGCAGGCCCCACCAGTCCTTTTCACACAGACACCTCCCCTCTCAGATACCCTTAACAGACCTGCAATTTCCTGCACTTTTCTTCTCACCTGGAAAATATTAGAGATTTAAAAGGCACATGAATAGCATATTGCTGTCTGCAGGAGCTGGGAGTTCAGGAAGAAGCAAAGAGTGAAAGAGAAGCAGAGATTTATAGTAAAGGATATTCCACATAGTCAGAACAACATTTTTTGTCCCAAACACCCTTTAATTTCAGTGTTATTTTGCTGATGAATCAAAGTAAAATTTGATTCCAGTGTAAACACATAAAGCGTGAGTAGGATTGAAGGAGAGAAAAAACTTTGTTCTTAATGATTTAAAAAAAAACCAAACTAATTAAAGCCACAATGCCAGCACAGTGAGGAGACAAGTGTGTCAGAAGAGTATAACTAACAAAAGTGTTTATCTTGTGGCAAGGAAGCCAGGCTTTTGCACAGTAAAGAATGAACAGCTCAAAGCAGCTAGTACCTAAACCATTTCTTCAAATAACAAATGTCTTCCTTGTAGAAATACAAGAACATAACAACCTGTGTTTACTTGAGAAAGGTTAAAACAAAGGCAAAAACACAAAGGTCAGAAAATATACACAAAACAACTGATACAGAAGCTATTCCCACAAAGGTATCGATGCAAAAATTTTCCTGGAGTTATACATTGAAACCTGGAGA